TCTTCTTTTATGGGCCACAAACCTGATTCCAAAAGAAATGGGGATGGACAGGATACACACGCTGAGGAGACAGTTGAACGATATAGCGCGTCAGGCCATCATTCAAGGGCGGCCGCAATTAGAAAAGGGTTGAGCGTCCCGGGGTGTGACATGGAGGAGATGAGAGTTTATGTGCAATCGTGGGCCTGGCTGAAGAGGATTGTAGGGGACAGAAAAAAAGTGGACACGTGATGTTGAAACCGTATGTTCCACTAGAAACATAAAGGGGTAATAAGAATAATATGTGTGTGGGCTAATGATACTACTACCTGACTTCTCAAAACGTTGGTAGCACGAGCAGGATTAGAACCTGATGACACAACGGTTGGAGGTCCAGTTCCCAAATCGACTCAAACTTCTTTGGAACGTTTACAGTAGTATAATTTTTGAAAAAATTAGTACATTACGGACACCAGGAGATGCACCACACACAGAGTCATATTTAGTGTGAGGACAGAGATACTGCCTGGAAGCCCAAACCGAAGTAAGTGGTTGTCTTAGGGGACCGTAGTACCGAGCCTTCGACGTGAAATCTCACCCACATGGCATTGGAGAAGCGTCAGGAGCTGTGTTCTCATGGTTTCTGATGACCAAAATAGATTCATATAACATTCGATCCATTCGGATATTGAAGTCCATGTACACCATAGGTTTGGAATCAGAGAATCGACCTCCCCGGTTGTAAGCCCCAGGCGTTCATCTTCGCCCTTCCACGTTTGTGAAGAACAGTGCTGCCACGTGAGGGTGGCGAATAGGATTTTTACCCGCAGGAGGCTATAAACGTGCGGGCCTACATGAGAACATTTTGAGACGAAGACTGGAATCAACCTAACCTCGGCAGTAGTAGAATAGTTTTCATTTTGCGAAAAAACTTATTTACTCTTTCAAATAACTGACATTGCTAACTGTTTATAGGTGGAGACCAGCTTAAAAATTAGGTTACCGGAAAAGTCCATCAATATACAACATATTTTTTTATTTCCTTCACGTTCCCAATGGAACATAGGGCGGCTTCAAGCTCGAGGCTTGAAGTTTCCGTAGCGATGGTGATTATTTTTACAGGAAAGAGGTTCTTAGCCTCATGCCAAACCTTCCCTCTTTACCAGCTTTATTTCTGGCCTAGTGAGGTTTGGGAGTGCATCGGTGGCCGAGTATCGAACCACAAACCACATGCATGTCCTGCGAGCGTCCTAACCAATGTGCCACCGACGTACATACATCACATATAATTTCTCGTATATAGTCTGTCTAAATCTAGTAAAATATGGCGATTAACAGAGTCGTTTACTCTGACAAGTATTTAAAACATTTAGAACTTGTGATTTCGTAAGTTTCCAGTAAACATGAGAAAAAAACATTATCATCGATGGCACCTTATCCCAGTACATGAGAGATGACCGTCCCTAAGTGGTGTTCTTTGGTTCAGAAAATCTACTTCCTGAACTTTTTATAATTGTCATTCAACAAAATGTCGTCGTGTATTTCTCTAAGAAAGAAAAAAGAGATATCATCACGAATCGGTTTGCTCTTCAAGTCAAACAAAACTGTGTCACACGATCTACTGTCAGTCAGTTAATCTTGTATTTGAAGATTCTGGACGAAGAGCGAATATCCTGCAATATATTTCTCAGAAAATTCTGTACATTATATATAAACACTATTTAGAACAAAGTCATTATTATTATTGTCGCATGCCTGTGTAACACTTTAGAATACAAAGTCCATTATGTGTAAAACTTGGGCACTGTGGTAGTAAGTAATTCCATATTATAGTTTGTTGATTAGATGTATCACACAGTGAAACAGTATTGTATACTAAATGACGTTTCGAACACAATTTATTGTTCATAATCATATCAATTGTGGTCACACGACTTTGAGATTTGAGTCTTGTAGTTTTCTTTGTCGTCTCCTATTTGTCGTATGGGCAGTAGAATTTTCCATATATCTGGGACAGATGTTGAATCGTTTCTATTACATGTATTTGCAGTTGATTCGATAAACAAAGCTTCTGTTATCAATCCCTCCCTATACCCTGTGACAATAGATTTTAAAACTGTCATACTATCCCATCCATCCTATTGTATTGAAGTTCCCCTTCCTGACTTGCCAGTTCATAAGTGAATTGAAATTCCAATGTTAGATTGCAACGTAAAAAGGAAAGAAGATGGGAAGTTACACATTAGTGTTTACACAAAAACCCCACACTCAAACAGATATTTGGATTTCCGATCATCCCATCCTATGTCAGTTAAAACAGGATTAGTGAAATGTTTAAATGACAGAGTACAAAAACTAAGTAGTACCAAAGAAAATCTAAGACAGGAAGTGATACACATAAAAGAAGCCTTGAAACTTAATAATTACCCATATAGAGTAGTCAAGAAATATTTTTTTTAAAATTTTTTTAATTTTTGATTTACAGCTTGATTCCACACTGTATTTTTGGTACAAGTATGGAATTTTCAGCATGGATATCGGTAGCCCAAATTTTGCAGGCCGACCATAGATATCAGGTGTGCACCGGCGTGGGCTCGAACCCCGGACCATGTGCATGGTCGGCGAGAGTCCTAACCACTGTGCCACCGACGCACCAAGGAAATGTAAAAATAAAATAAATAATGATAGTAGCGACAGTGATAATAATAATAATAATAATAATAGTAATGACGACACCAACGATAAGGATTCTAAATCATCAACAGTAATTCCATACAAGGAAGGAACCTCGGAAGCCTTACGCAGAATTCTTAACAAGGCGGGTAGGAATAAAAGTGGCTGGCATTCAAACCCACAAACTCAATTAGAAACAACCTTTGTCAGCTAAAGGATCCTGCAGAGCCTTTAAAACAAAACAATTCAGTTTATTTAATACCCTACCTACTAGTAGAACAGGGGCAGTCAGACTAGCCGAACATAAAAACCTAGCTAAATCTAGATTGGTTGACCCAAATAAGATACAAAATTCAGAAAATAGTTCAGCTATAGCACTACATGCAGTTACACACAACCATACAATAGGATGGATGGGATAGTATGACAGTTTTAAAATCTATTGTCACAGGGTATAGGGAGGGATTGATAACAGAAGCTTTGTTTATCGAATCAACTGCAAATACATGTAATAGAAACGATTCAACATCTGTCCCAGATATATGGAAAATTCTACTGCCCATACGACAAATAGGAGACGACAAAGAAAACTACAAGACTCAAATCTCAAAGTCGTGTGACCACAATTGATATGATTATGAACAATAAATTGTGTTCGAAACGTCATTTAGTATACAATACTGTTTCACTGTGTGATACATCTAATCAACAAACTAATATGGAAAGTGCATTATGATTTCACTAGAAATGAGTTGTATTCAAAGGCTGTTTTCTACCATATTACAACTACCAGTGAACACTGCACACATATTATCGCCAGTTAATTTTTTCTTGTCAGTACATTGATAATCAATAATAATTTGCATAAACAGAATTTATGTGAATACTAAATAGTAAAGTAAAATAAATAAATAAATAAATAATGCGTTCAATGGTAACAAATATTTTGGTTGTATATAGTTTTTAAGAGCCAACTTATTACTGGCCTGTTAAGTAGTTCAATTTCTTTTCTAAATGCTTATGTTTCTCTCGCTATATCTTCAGTTCACACATAGGATATGTGACAGTAAATTGGTCGTAGTATGGCATCCACTTGTAAAAGGCGCTCTGGAACACTATCCAACCTAGCTAGCAAAGAGACAACACAAATGTGTACATAGCTAGGTAACAGAACATCTGGGGAACCCACAACATCAAGTTTCATTCAAAAAGTCCTTCAAAGTCATTTACAAGATCCGATCAAAGTTGACATCAATATAAAGCATTTAAATTTACGTATTGTATTTCGACAGTGGGTCAGTGACACAGCGGTAAAATGCTCGGCAACTGCGTGCACATGTGGTCCGGCAGTTCGAGCCCCGGCCGATGAACTCCTTTACCTCACTAAGCCAGTAATAAAAAAGCTGGTAAGGAGGGAAGGTTGGGCATGAGGCTAGGAGCCCCAGCCCGTAAAAATAAGCGCCACTGCTGCCGAAACTTCAAACCTCTAGCTTGAAGCCCTATGTTCCACTAGGAACGTGAAGGAATATAAAATAAAAAAACTGTATTTCGATTGATCGTAATTTTGGCTTACCAAGCTCTCTTCCACATACAGTTGAAGGCATCGGAATCCACCTGAAAAAGTCAACTGATTTCCTTATTTTGACTATTGTTATATAGGTGCGGGAAAAAAGTGACAATTCCCCCCTCCTTCTAGGCGCCTTAATGGCCTATTGGCTCGCCTTGTAGTCAGAACGCCCTGGGTCCGAGCCCCAGTAGTGCGCACTGATGAAGAGTCCCAAACCAGGACGAAACAGATGTACCCATAAATTAATAAACAACATATTTGAAGACATTAAATTCACCACGAGAGAAGAAGAATTAGATAACAAAATCCCATTTTTAGATGTCTTAATCAGGAGAAATCAACGCACACAGATCAAATACTCAACTCTACTGGCAATAATCCAATTACTCACTAAAGAAACTGTGTGCAGACATTGTTTGAAAGAGTTCAAACACACTGTAGCACTCCAGAGTTGAAAAAAAAAAAACAGAAGAAAAATACCTACGAACGGTCTTCAAAAAGAGTGGTTATCCACAAAATGTCATCAAAAAGTGTTTAAAATCGAATCACAACACCAACAAATGAAATGGAGGTGTGCTGCAGACGCCGTATGTTTCACTCAGAACGCCATGGAATAATATAATACTCTTGGCTGATCGGTCGGTCATCTGAAGGATAGCATTATTTTACAGTCAAACAAACGGGGTTTAAATAATGCTATTAAGTAAAATACGTTAAAGCATATAAGTTGAAAATTGAAAACAGAATGCATTAAATAATAACAATAATAATACTTACTTACCTGTTGATTTGGTGATAAACTCAAGGTCAGCTGGCATTGTTTTCGTCGTTGAGCACAATAATGTCTTTCAAATTCAGCTCTTTCATTTAAAACTGAATGAATATGTAGACAACGATAAACTGGTCCAAAATCAACTAAATCTTCAACTTTGGAATGTGTTGAAGAATTACGTATATCTTCACTTATTCGAGCACGTGTTGGCTCACTGGCAGCAGTAACAGTAGCACGTGAACTGTTGTTAGCATTATTGACAATCTGAGTTAACATTTCTAATTCATTGTCTAATCCATCAGTATAGGTACCAACTAATAATTATTGGAAAATAAATAAATAAAAAGTCAAATACAAAATTAATTTAAGGAGGAATACATAAATATACAATTATTCATTCTATTCCTCTGAGTTCCAAATGAAACAGGTCTCGGAACCTTTAGCTTTGAAGTAGCAGTCATGTTGCTAGCTTCATGCCCAACCTTCCCTCTTTACTAGGCTTAATACTTGATAGCCGCGAGATTTGTGAGTGCATCATCAGCCGGAGTTGGAATCTCGGACCACCTGCACCGGTTGGCGAAGATTCCTATATACCGCTAAGCCACCAACACATACATAAATATACAAATCTATGTTAATGTGTTAAGCTGTGTTTCCAGACCTAGTTGATGATACCACCTGAATTTGAATAAAGCAAGAACAACAGTGGTGGTTTGTGCAGAATAATATGGTGCCATCATTGTTTATTTCGTTAGCTTCTCATCAGCAGCTGCTTTATAGCCTAAATTAATTATTATTAAGTTTATCTACAGAAAAGTTTTAACATACTTGCAAATTTGTTTCATGCTGTCAGTTGACAGAAAGTTCCACAATTAGTAAACAGTGCTCAGAAAATTGCGTTTATATATATTTTTTTACACAGGGAGTTCAAGTTTAAACAAAATAAATGCATGCATAGAATGGTAAAGGAGTTACGTAATAAAGACGAGAATGCATAAGATGCAGAATGACTAATATATTAGGTAACAATCTACTGAGTTCAACTCAAGTCATAGAAACAAGAGACAAACAAAATTACAGATTTTAAAAAATAAAGATTATGTAACCAAGTGAGAAAATAAAGACATCCAGCTACCAGGGTAGTAAGAAAAGACTCATAACTGCTTCGTTTTTAACACAGAAATCTGGCTTCAGGCGTTTGATAGAAATTGCTTCGACAAACTTGAGGAGAACCGAGCTCCTTTGTCTACTGATAGTTCCAAAGATTTCGTGATCTCCACCCCATGTCTGGTAATAGCGCTATTATAAGAGTTTGTTCCCTTGAGACGTAGGCTTTTCGGCACATGTCCAGAAAACCAGAGGTGTGTCCTTCTTACTGTTCTCCCAATGTAACTGCTCCCGCAGATACACGTAAATTTGTATACACAGTTAAAGTTAACATGAGAAGGGTATCTGTCGACTTTTGACTGCACCAAAGAGCATGTTGTTCGATGGACGGAGACCAACTTAGCTGCAGGATAGGCTTTGGCTAGTGACGTACTCAGTCTTCTGTTGACCATTGCTGCAATGTTTCCACCTTTAAAATCTAGTTGAATGAAGACAGGCTTTTTTCAACTGTGATTTGTTTGGTATTTGAGCCTTCGCATCTTCCATATTTGTTAATGAATCTTTGAGGATAACCGTTGTTTTTCAGTAGCTTTTCGAGAATCGTAAATTCTTCCTCTAGTTTCTCTGCAGAGCATATTCTCCTCGCTCTATAGTACAGAGTCTTGTCTAGTGCTCGTTTATAGCTATTTGGATAAAAATTATTAAAATGTAAGTATTATCCATTCCATGTTAGCTTTCGATAAGTTGACCTCTGGAGACTACCGTCCTCCAGGCATTGCATGGCAATGTCAAAGAAATAGAACTTTCCATCATTTCCATGCTCCATAGTAAATACAATATTTGTATGTGCGTCATTGAATAATCTGAGTAGGTGGGAAGCATGAATTTCATTTTGCATACTGTAAATGTGTCATCGACATATCGACAATAGGAAGTTGTTTGGTCAATTCCATGCTTCAACTTTGTTTTCTCAAGGTTTGACATGAAGATATCTGCTAAAACACCTGACTAAACCCAACAGTGGCACGTATATTTTTCTCATTCCTTTACGTTCCCAATGGGACATAGGGCTTCAAACTAGAGGCTTGAAGTTTCGGTAGCAGTGGTGTTTATTTTTACAGGATGTGTTTCATAGCCTCATGCCAAATCTACCCTCTTGTACAGTCTTATTACTTTCGGGGGCCGGCACCCCGCCTCGCGCAGTTGGCGAGCATTCTGCCGCTGTGCCACCGAAGCACTGCATGTGTATTATTACAATATTATTCCCTTAGGTTCCAAGAGTAACACAAAGCTTCAACAGCTTGTCTGGCCCCAGGAGTGACTATAAGCTTGCATTTTCTGCTTACACGACCTCCTCCATGTCACCCTCGAATCAACGCCTAACTCGCCGTTTTCCACTCGAGCCACAGCCTGGCGCGTAATGTTACCTAACGGTCTGCTCAGTGTGTGTTCGACCCATTTCCATTTTCTTCAGCATATTTGTTGGACAACACAGGTTGTTGATTAGTTTGTTCGCCGCACACGTGTAAAAGTATTTAAATCTGCAAACCCAATGATTTTAGAATCAAGTGTCTAGATTAACGAAACTAATATCGATTAATAATAGTTTTATGTTCCCTATGCTTTAATATGTTTAAAGATGACCAATCCCATTATTAGACCTCATCTATTCAGAAATGAAACTCTTCTGGACTCAACGAGTTACACCCTTTGTTCATCCTCAGAATTATTAAGATTTTAGAAGTTAGACTTCAGTCAACTTTTGAACACTTTAAGCCAACTCAAACCTTTACCCTATATAACACTAGCTCATGGCCTATCTCATTCGCATAAGATTTCAGTATCCCATTTTTAATCGCTAAAGAATTATTGGCAAATAAAATGCAGCCCACTACATAAGACTACATTTTAGTCACAAAAACACAATCTGATCATATAAACAATCATCAAGTGTTGGTTTGCAGGGATATGCGTCGGTGGCACAGTGATTATGACTCTCGCCGACCATGCACATGGTCCGGGGTTCGATCCCCTGCCGACGCACATCTGATATCAATGGTCGGCCTGCGAAATTCGGGCTACCGAAATCACATGCTGAAAATTCCATACTTGTATCAAAAATACGGTATGGAATCAAGCTGTAATCAAAAACAAAAAAATAAAAAATACATGCCTGATGACGAGTTGATATCAGTTAGAGAACCATCGGAAAACCCGCAAGGAGTTCTGGACAGCTGTCTCATCCTCGAATTCCAGTGAGTGCGTATCGCTACTGAAGAGTCCCAAACTGGGACGAAACAGCTCTTCAGTACTCCCTGAAGGTTTTTCAAATGTTCTCCAACTGACGTTAACTCGTAATCAAACCCTATAACATAAAGAATCCTCTGAAACTCCACGAAATTGTTCAGTAGGATTTAAGTGGTGATAATAATAATAATAGTAATTGCGCAATAACTAACCGGGTCCTTTTTGCTGAGTTTTAGAATTCATTGACACATGGCTTTGTAGTTGACTTGCATTTGACTTTTTCTTTTCACGTGGTGTTTCTTTATATCCATTAGTTGCTAAAGTGTCGAATAAGGCTTCACTGTCTATCCCAGAGGAATGTGCAGCTTCTTGCATAGCGAAAGCTCCAAGAATCACTGAATTCTTACGTATATATTCAAGAAAGTCAGTCAATTCACCAAGACTTGCATTCTAAACAAAGCAGTTAAGAAAATTGCATGAATTCATAAGTTTAAAGTATTAAACCTTTCTAAACATGCAAAAAACCAATACAGAGTTCAAGTTTTGTAGAACTACAGTGAGAACGAGAGAGTCGAGATGATGGCATGGCCTGCACCTTAACACACGTGGATCACCATGAAGATTCTTTGATCTTTGAGTCTTTAATATTATCAAGTATTGGTTTTTTAGGGATCTTTTTTGACTGCATGAAGGATTTCATCATGAGCTGACATCAGTTAGAGAACCGTGGGAAGCCGTGACCAGTAGGGTACAGTAGGTTGAAGATGAGGTAGTAACTCATCGAAGAAGACATTGCGAAATGGTCAAGCTATGTCGTGAATTGGTAGAAGTCAGAATTTATTGGATCGGGTCCAGTGGCTTAATGGTCTACGAGCTAGCTCGCTAGCCTTGTAACCAGAAGGTCCTGAGTTCGAACCCCGACGGGTGAGTACTGCTGAAGAGTTTTTAATATTATTATTATGTGAGAAAACACATTCGTGAAGAAAATAAAGGACAATTCAGCGACGAATACTTTCTTTATCGACGAAATCATCTTTAGAAAATTGGATTTAAAGGTGATCCTGAAGAACCGCTTATCCAGATCATTGAGAAAAACCTTCTTCACATTTCAGTTAAGGATCAATTTCTATAGCCGACAAATGATCGATAGATGTGTGAAGGGTTAACTGCCGCCTTGGGCCACTTCCATGTGTGTTTATTAAGTCCCCTGCTTGTGTGGAGCTAGTTATATTGGCCGCACAAAGCTCACCCTTTCCAAACGCATCTTTGAACATTATTCGATATGGTTAACAAAGGGACAATGCAAGACAGTTACTAACTCAATTCTCGAGCACTTGGTGAACTCAAGCTACGTAGCTCCACCTGAGTCGTCTTTCAAGATCATCTACAAGGTGAGGCCAAATAGTACAAAGGGAGTCAGGTTTCGACATTTGTGTATGGCCGAGTCGTTGGCAATTCGTTAATACAACCCCGAACTCTGCATACCAAAATCGTTTATCCATTCTCTTATTCTATCACGGTTTTAACCTCTTCACTAGCAATTCCCTGTAAATTTTTAATTTTTTAATAATTAATTCACCATTATCCTTCTTACATGTTCTTTTTGTACATTTTCTCATCCTCTACACCTTTGCCAAATGAGCACTTAACTACCTTTCTTCTCACTACTCAATAACAATTCTAGTCTTACCAAATTTATAATGCTTTCTTCCATTGTGACACTGGGTGCTACGTAATTTACAACTTTTAATTTCACTTCTAAAGCCATTTCTGAGAAATTATATCAACTACGTTACCTCCCTCCCCCTCATACATTTCTGGTGAATATAAATACGACTGTACAGCGTCTGAGGATGATTTCCTCGATAGAGAAAATTTTCTTTGCTGAATTTGTCTTTTATTTTCTTTATGACACAAGGGGTATTTTTGGTGATTTACACAATGACAGTAAATCAATCCCATTGTTACTTTATAAAACAATATACTTCTAAGTGAGTGTTGTTCAGTTAGGATTTCAGGTTGTTGCTACTGTAGACACAGACACACACATACCTTTATAGGCTAATTTTGTGTGCATAACAAGGAATTTTTTAAGAGTCAGTTTGTAGGGATTTGATTTGTTACAAGTTGGATCACGGATTGATGTCAGCTGTCCAATACTCCATGCCAGTTTTCAATGGTTCCGTCAACAAATTTGAAACATCAACCAAATCTCTACAAACTAGTTCTCGAAAATTAATCTGATGCTCACCGGTGACTGGCTGAGAGGATGAAGTTCCCTAGAGTTTTGTTGACACTCCGTAATCAATTATTTTTTTATTTTTGATTTACAGCTTGATTCCACACTGTATTTTTAGTACAAGTATGGAATTTTCAGCATGGATATCGGTAGCCCAAATTTTGTAGGCCGACGATAGATATCAGGTGTGCGTCAACAGCGGATCAAACCTCGGACCATGTGCATGGTCGGCGAGAGTCCTAACACTGTGCCACCGACGTACCAATTTTCTCCAGTCATCCCGAAGACCCTAATCAGACAGTAAGTCTACACCTCCCCACGCGGGTGGATTAAACTAACACCTTGTGAATTTCACTGAGTTTACCGATGAAATTGGCCGGTGGCCGTACTAAAATCGGTAGAAGTTGAAATTCATGGACTGACCATCGGATCAGGACTCAGTAGCTGAACAGTCTACGGGTCGACTTCATAACTTGGGTTCGAACCCTGGTGGGTGGGTACTGACGAAGAGTCCTAAACTAGGAAGAAACAATTATCCAGTACTCCTTGGTTTTGAATGGTTCTCTAACTGACATCAATCTAAGATGAGACTTCAGTTAGTGTGTTTTTACAACTATTATCGAGTCAATTAGAGTAATCGGAAACAAAAACGCTATTGTGTTGATTTTCGCCTTGACGATTCGATTTCACTGAACACTGCAGAAGCGAAACTCGAAATTGTCTTTGTTTAGTGTTTGAAAAGAATAGTTGACTATGATAACTGCGTCTTTTAAGTGCACATTCTTTAACATCACTTTTAATTTCAACAAAATTAACATCAAACCGTTTATATATATATATATATATATTCATCTAGCGGGTTACACTTCTTTTGTTTCGTTTGTGACATGGTTATCGATGTCCAGTCTGTAAATAAACCAATCAGAATTCGGCCCAGGTAAAATAACACCCAATATTTCATTGACCATGATTACAGACTGATTGGTATATCCTTAGGATTATTTTGAATCATACTTCATTGCGTAAAATATACTTTTTTAGATCATAGAAAACACCCAATAGGACATTAGAATAAGAGGACACGGAGTTCAGCAAAGATACCTTTTCGGCGATTTCATTTTCAAAAGCTGTACAATCGCATTTAAATACATAATTTTACATGGATACAATTCCTGTTTGATTCCACGTAATTACGACGGCGAATAAAAGGTGATAATTATTTTCAACTAGATATAGTGTTTACGAGAGGGTTAGAAACAAAATTACACAGAATTAGAACGGATAACATTAGTGTGTAAAAACGAGCATGGAAACAGAAGTAAAATAATTTTTAGCTTGAGATGGGAGTTAGTCGGAAACATGCCACTTTTGGTAGGTTCCTCTGTGCTGCAGAAGCCCTCGTAATATGCATCGAGAAGCCGGAGCTGTGTATTCAGAAGAAATTAGTCCAACCTCTATAACTACCATGGACTTAGTTCGGTATGTTTCCTTAGCTTTCGTTTTTTCGTCCTTCGTTTTCTTTTTCTTTTTGATCTTTATTCGTTCGCTGTGTGCGTGATTCTTACTCCCTCTGTCTTCATTCGATTCACCCCATTTTTCTCAGTTATAAAAACAGTTATTTTAAGTTTGTTTCTATGCTTTTCCTGTTCACATTTATAATAACTATTTTAAAATTATATCTTAATCCTGCGCAATTTTGTGTTTCTAAGGCTCTTGTAATCTATATTCACACCTCCTAACTTCCATTATAAGTTAAAATTATTATTTCAATTTTGTTTCCATGCTCATTTTTACACACTAATGTTATCCGTTCTAATCCTGTGTAATTTTGTTTCTAACCCTCTCGTAAACCATGTCTAGTTGAAAAATAATTTAAAACAAGCAATAAAGGTTAATAAAGCAGGATTTAATGAATTCATCAAATTTCGGTAGAACTCGTCAGCTGAATACTCTACATACACGGATATATATACTTTTGAAATTACATTGGGAGATATAAGACTGATAAGTAAACAAACTACATTGAATTAATCATGCAGAAAGACACGTGCGAATGTTTTCCAGGTCATGTTCAAATAGATAAGGGGAGAGAGAGAGTATGAGAGATCAAAATTAAGATAAATTGCATTACGCTTCAATTACATCACTTAGATAAACAATTAGTCACTAGGGGATATAACGAGAATTGCAAACAGACTAATATCAATAGTAATAGTTATAATAACAGTTTTAATAGTGTTGAAGTGAGTTAAGATAATCTTACTGATAAAGCATAGTTTTAGATGAATCAAGAATAAAAATAATGGTAATAATAATAACAATAATAGTAAGAAGAAGAGGTCTTATATCTCCCAATGAAATTTCAAAAGTATATATATCCGTGTATGTAGAGTATTCAGCTGACGAGTTCTACCGAAATTTGATGAATTCATTAAATCCTGCTTTATTAACCTTTATTGCTTGTTTTAAATTCGTATCGGGAAATAAATGCTTTCAATTCTTGAAAAATAATTATCACCTTTCATTCGCCGTCGTAATTATGTGGAATCAAACAGGAATTGTATCCATTTAAAATTATGTATTTAAATGCGATTGTACAGCTTTTGAAAATGAAATCGCCGAAAAGGTCTGTCTGTCTGTTTTCGACATAGAACTTTGCACAAATATGCGGAAGTTCAAGTCGCCACACTCCGTGTAGCACGCGAAGCAAGAGAAGAAAGTACAAGAAAAGCATAATAGAAACAGTGAGCAGAGGTGTGAGACAAAGGAGTAATAAAGAAAAACAAAACAGTTTCATTGGAGATCATAAGTCACAAGGAGTGGATGCATCTCCACCAGACACTGAGAACGATTTTCAGCCATGTCACCAATTGTTTCCAACCATAGATTTTTACCGTCCCGAGGACCCCACCCACGAAGTCTACACCTTCCAACGTGGCTTAGACCAACTGTTGTGGATTTCATTGACTGGTGCCAAGTTTTTGTTTGACCGCCGCTAGCTTTTTTCCAGCCTGACCCTATATCCGCTAACATTGCTCGTCGAGGGAGGCGATGGTTTGGCATACGTAACACATGTCCTAACCATCTCAGCCGAAAAGGTATCTTTGCTGAACTCCGTGTTCTCTTATTCTAAAATATACTTCGCAGCTCACGCCCTGTGTTCCCGCTGGAGGATTTCGTATAATGTTACTGGCGTGATCAAACGGCATTCAAGATGACCGCGTCTCAGTCCAGCACCAACGTCAGTATCCTATTCCATTTGTTCATAACATTTTGAGAAGAAATAATATATAACTAGGATTGCATCGTTGGTTCAACGGTATGAGTGCCCAAAAACCACACATATACGGGATTAATTCCCGGCCAACACACTCACAAACCTCGCGTAGTTTACTAGTCAACAATAAGCCTGGAAAAGACTGAAGGTTGAGAATGAAACTAGCAATCCCGTCCCCCGTCCCGTAAAAACAACAAACACCACCGTTACTGAAACTTCAAATGCTCAGGACCGAAGGAAGTTTCAGAAAATTCGTGAGTTTATCAATATATGTGAGGTTGAATATGCACAAGTCAAATCAGAAGGTCAAATTCACTCAAATTACCTCAACACAGAAACTTGACAGCTAAGAAGTGCCGAAATTAAAAAAAAACAGATACAAGTTATTCTGCTCTTAAGTTCGCTCTAGCTTAAATTTATTAGTAGATAGACAGGAAACGTGTATTAGTAGATCCACGGTTCATAGATGAACATGAGAATAAAGTAGTAATATAGCGCTATAATATATCAGTAAAGTGGCTCAATGTACCAACATTTTTAACGAATTATGCAAACTGATGGATAGCAGCTTTTTAGGCTTTTCTGAATCCCCATATTGACTGACCGGTTTCAACGTAGAACTTTATACAGATGTACAGCAGTTCCAGTTGCCACACTCCCTCTGTGTACTACATAAAGCCAGAGAAGAGAGTAAATAAAGATATTTAAAACAGATAAACAGGAATATGAGGCAAAAAAATTGGCAATATGGAAGAACAGTAGAATTTCATTGGATATGACAAATTACAAGAAGTGGTTGCACCTGTGCCAGCCATTGAGAACGATTTCCAGTCAATTCGCCAATTTTCTCCAGTCATCCCGAAGACTCCGACCAGATAGTCAGTTTACACCTCCCTACGTGGCTGGATTAAACTAACACCTTTGTGGATTTTTTAAATTTTTGATTACATCTTGATTCCAAACCGTATTTTTTGGTACAGGTATGGAGTTTCAGCATGGTAGCCCGGTAGCCCAAATTTTGCAGGCCGACCACAGATATCAGGTGTGAGTCGGCAGGGGATCGAACCGCGGACCATGTGCATGGTCGGTGACAGTCCTAACCACTGTTCCACCGACAGACGAGACCTCGTCGATTGATTTCCCCTCTTTACCTAGAACTCAATGCCTAACCTCAATATTGCTTACCCTATTATACCGCTTAACACGGGAGATGGAACGCAGGCACCTATGCTCAAAGACAGCTAACCTTCTTAATGTGTTCCACTTTCAATTGCTATGTCTCGCACACAGTCAGAAAGGGAGACAGATGGGACTGCAGAATCTCTATATTCATTCATTACAATTGTAGAAATGGAAATCAATCTCTCAAACTACTGCTATCTAGCGGTTGCTACCCTGTTCATGCTTCATGTCTGTGAGACATGGTCGTTAAGGGTGGAAGATAAGGAAAGGCTAACTGTTTGAGTTATTCATGTTAGGTGGTATGACATGGTGAGTAATATCGAAGTTAGGGGTAGGGTGTTAAGTAAGGAGGATAAGTTAATCAATGAGGCTGTGAAGCTACATCGATTGAGATGACTGACATGTGTGTTACCCTTATTTAGCCTACACCTTCCTCGACATGCAACGTCAGCTGACATGGGATCAAGCTGGAGAAGAGCTGGTGGTGGTCAAACCAAAGCCTAGAATCAGTCTACGAAATGTTTGAGCCATGTAAGGAGGTAGAGACTGTCTAGCTGGGTTTCTCGTGATGCTAAGAATCAATACCTGAAGACTATTGGTGATATGGCTCGAAATCGTTCTCAATGACCTCAGATGTATGCACTCTTTCTGATCTCCAGTATCCACTAAACCCTCCTGTTTTTCCCATGTCACTTCTTTCTACTTCACATTTCTTATTAGTATCTGGAAAACTAAATATTTTTGTTTTCTAGGTTGATATTTGGGCCAAATGTATTAAGCAAGATAAAAACGGAGTGTCAAATTTTAAATTATGATGGAATGGAAATGAAAGTGACTAAGGTAATAATCTGATATTAAACTTTGATTTGAATACAATCACTTCAATACATGTGAATGGCCCAGTAAAAAAATGTCTGGCAGTTAGAGCAAAAACAAAGGTATCCTAGATAGCCTAGGCTCATTTTAAACAGAAACACACAACTCGTTTCAATTACAGGAGATATGTACACACATAAATCTGGGGTTTTACAAAAACTGTTCAACAACACTATTGTCAACTCTATGAATGATGCTCAGGAAGGTTTCGTGTGCTCTTGGAAGTGTGTGGGCGGTTGTTACTTCCCGGCTGCCCACACCGTGGAAGTTGCTTGATTCTTCAGGTACCTGAAACAGAGAGACGGTTAGTGTTGCGTGACCGCACAGTCCAGGGGACAACTGCTTGAGGCCGGTCACACACGGCCTGTATGAACTGTTTTCTTGGTTTGCTTCCGTATTAGTAAACTTACCGCCGGTTACGGACCACCGTAGGGTAAGTCGGGATGTACAATTTTTGGGGTACACCTTTTTGACCCTCTCCCTCCAGAGTGGAGATACAGCATAGCTGGCATACTGGTCATCTGAGGGAAACACCTCGCTGCTGTTACATTCCTGTTCCTCAGCAGTACAACTAAACCCACAGACCCCTAGCATAGTGTAAGAAAGATTCTTACACTATTCCGGTAACTGATTTTAGTCTAATTGCTATCCTAACAACCTTCCTGGCATGGTAGGCTCTGCAGGAACATTGGTTCCAGCCAGTGTAGCTTGTTGGGTCATCGCGATGTGCAAGCCTGACCACCACGTCAAGGTAGCAGCTATCGGTCGGGCAACTCTACGAAAACAAATAAAATTTGTTTCAATGCGAACAAAAGCACTTTGACTAAGAACCTAATGAGAAGTGACAAGTGATAATTTCAACCAGACTTACTTTGATTCCCGTTCTAGTTTTTGGTATGCGATGTATGATAATTTCAGAAAAAGCAAATGGACGAATTAGATCCAGCTGAGAGTGTTCCAGATCCTCTAAATTTTTCAAAGCATGATAATACCTCCCGTCAGCAATACTTTGTTCAATGCGAGAATACTGTTCCAATATGGGAAGGCTGATTTGAATCGCCTCGATACACTGATTGACATGATCCAAAGTTTGTTTACAAGCAGCTAATTTGTTGCAAGATTCACTAAACTAAAAATGTATCATACAAAATAATAGGTTTACCCAGCCATTAAAAACAAATAATAAGATTATAGTTAAAACAGGACACAAAGAACTGCTTCTAAGTACAGACATCCTTGAATCGATAGCCAGACATCACGTCTATGCCACAGATAACGTAAGTTAGCCAATGCAACATGAGCTTTTTGTATTTGCGCTGAGATTTTGTCAGTTATCAGTTCATTATGGTCAATGCTACTTTCCAAATAAGTTAAGTGGTCAGTGTCCTCAACCACTTCACTCCCTCTATCTTAAAGATAGCAGTCTATGAAGTCCAACTTTGCAGCACAATCTTGCATTTGACGGGAGCAAATCGTACACCAAACATGCTAAGATTTTTGCTTAAAGTGTTCAGAAGATTCTGTATTTTTTCAGCATTGTCACTAAGAAAGGCCATATAATCTATATACTCTAAGTTCACCCGAATATCCCCTAGTAATGATCCGATCCGTAAGTTGCTGCGGTCACAACCATTATCACGTTTATAATGAAATTAAATGAAAATGGAGACAATGGCTTTCTGGACGCACACCATAGATTGTCTCTTTACTTCGGATAACAACCCTCCATAAGTTATTGTACAACTGCGTAAATTTAAGTAAAGTGCCTTGATCAATTCCATATACTCTCTCAGTGCTCTCTTCATAATCAGGCATTGTCAAAGTACCAGTGAATCGACGATGTTAAATGCCAAAATCAGGTCAAGAAATATTGCAAAAACAGAATGATACTACTGTGTAGACTATATAACCCGCTGGATGATGCTGTGCCGAAGATGCATTCAACGGGCAAAGTAATAATTTAGGAACACAAGATTTATCGAATGTGGACAGATACGTCATGATATTCCATCTAACTGAAGGGAAAGTGATAACGGACATCAGTCATTTCACTTGTTCACGAAGTCATATCAGCCCTAGTAACCTTATAAATGATGAAACTCTACAGAGAACATAAATTTGTCTGAATGTGTGTACCAACTACGGCTCAGATGAGATACAGGATTACCAACTAATGGTAGTTTATTCGACAGTAGTGAGTTTATCTCTGCCCTATGACTGTAAAACACGATTATTACAAGTAGCGTATTTAAGGATACTTGTCATATTTAACGACTACTACCTTTATAGTATCCCTACAGTTTTAAGAAGATATGTAAGGTGAGCCAATGAATTTACCAGTTAGTTATCGATCAAGATAGTGAAACATATAACATATGCATAGCATGCGATTTGAACGGCAGCAGAGTTAAGTCTGACTATCCTTTACCTGCTTGTAAGCTAGAGTGACTCGGTATGAGTAATAAACATTCGAGCTAACCCACCTGATGAAGATACACAACCTAATTAATTAACTTACCTTCCTTACTTACTTAAAACTATAAATAATCTAATAAAAACAATTGAACAGAAAAACCTATATTTAAAAACCTGTAATCCATTCGTAACTTGTAAGTGTATTGGACATGTCTAATGGCAGCACAGTGCATACTGCTGGGAGAATACACCTTGTGATGGCCGATAAGGACTATGACCAATTTCAAGCAAGCTTTCTGTATCTGTGCTGAAATTTCATCAGTAAGAGAGGACCCAGCTCCTCAAATAGATGAAGTCGTCAACACGACAAAAAAGTCCAATTTACACTGGTGAGTTGATAGCCTATTATGAATCAAAAAGTTTGCCGAAATTTCGCCACTAGTGGCACAAGAGATACAGCTGTTTATTTAGCGACAGTCCTACCTGTCTCACTATAAGGTTGTCAAGATCTATCACTAAATTTTGAAGACAAGTGTATGTCTAACTGGCAATGAAAGAAAAAGTTATCAATATAGAATCAGATATTAATATGACTAATTTACTGTGCAACGCATACATGAAGTAAAAGATGAGAGGAATTAAATGCGGAACGATTTTTAAAATGCGTAGACAACAGAGTGACGCGGACAGTCATATTGCGTCTTACGTCTGGGTGACAAAAAAACTTGGGAATGAATGCAAAAATGATTTTAGATCGACCTTAGTCTATGTGTAGTATATCACAAGCGACCAACTTTTATCTTAAAAAGAAGCAATCACGACGCGAATTTTTACTGTTCGAATTAATCATTTTATTCTCAAGTATTATATGCATTTTATATAACTGGCATACTACACACATTATTTGCATGATTACACATATTTTTAATAATCAGCCTTTGGCTTTAGACGTAAAACCAATTGGAAGTACCGAAAATATACAAAAACTTTTACGTAAAATTCTAACCTTATTAACCAAGATTTCTAATTCTACATTCAGCGTTTGTAAGTCCCTTTCGAGGTTTTCTGCATTCTGCTGAATACCAAGCAGCTCTCTTGTTGAATCAACGAAACTTTGGTAGTGATAGCTGCAGGTTTTCTCTATTTCTGCATTGTGTTCAGACGCCCGCAAGTCAAGTGCTGCTATAAAACTTGCAATTAGTTCACCAGTTGGACCTCCAACATGAGCTTTGTAGGCAGCTACCTCATTTTCTCGCAACTTTCGAATGACATTTGCGAGTGACCCACTATTACCTGATTCGATTTCATCAAGTAATAGGCTAAAATTCAGGCTACTGGCATTGGGTACAGACATATCGACATTTTGTCTTAAGGTATGTTTAAAAAACGTGTTAACAACACAAGGTCATATTGGAGATGACAAATAGATAACTTAAAATATTGTGTACAATCGACACCGTATTCTGTCTCATATCATTTATTTGATTTATTAATGTATCAGTTGATCTTATAAATGACTCCCGCGCCCTTCTGTGCTGAAGGGCACTCACTCCGTGTTAGAGGCATATCAAGAAAGTGTCGATGACGCTAGTCACGTGACCTATGTCTGAGCAGTAGCCGATCTTCTTCTGTAGTGGAGGACCTGTAGTGCACATTGTACCTTTGGACTTTTGTTTAAACTCGCTCACCCACGGTGATAGACTTTTTATCTTTTGAATTGTGAGTCTTCTGTACGTTCATTGGTTCGTTCTCTTGTTGTGCTCCTTTTTTGCACACTCTCCGAGCCTACCTCCAGCAACGTCTGCAGCTAAGTTGTACAGTCGCTTTATTTATTAAATCTGTTATTCAGTTACGTTAAATACAACTCATATTGAGAATTCTTCCCATTGTTAGCTTTTAAACTTTGATTGAGTTAATCAGTACTTACACGTTAGGTAGAGTACTGGTAAAGTCATAAGACGGTGAAGTTTTTAGTAAGTGTGGTGATATCGAGGACTATCTTAAGTCTAGCCTCAACACTTACAGACCCTTGCAGGCCAGGGGCTTCAAATCCCCACTGAGAGTGACAATGGCTTCCTTTTTACTAAATTTAGTCGTACTGCAGCAGTCACTGCATGGCCAGTCCTACAGAGGTTTGTAGAGACGCTTGTATGCTGCAGGAGTTAGGTTTGTAGACGTGATATGAAACCGCCCCTTGTAGTTGTCAGACTGCATTCCTTCTTCAACTTGAAATTGTCAGGTACATCTCTTGTTACAGTTCTTCTTGATGGACATGCTTTTCAGAGTGAATGGGGACAAAAAGATTCAAATATGACCTCATATTTATGACCTTTGTTAATCACTGATAAAAAACCAATGCGTCGGTGGCACAGTGTTTAGGACTCTCGCCGACCATGCACATGGTCCGGGGTTCGAGCCCACCCCGACGCGCACCTGATATCTATGGTCGGCCTGCGAATTTTGGGCTACCGATATCCACGTTGAAAATTCCACACTTGTACCAAAAAATACGGTGTTGAATCAAGCTGTAATCGAAAATAAAAATAAAAAATAAATATATGTAGCTATTGGGTTATAAAAACACAACTTCCTGTAATTAAACAGACTCAAAACTGAAAAGTAAACTAACTTTGATCATAACAAACCGATTTAAAGTTCATCCATAAACTTTGGAGTGTATAACACAACAAAAGCTGAAATTAGGCAAAAGCATGCGAAATTCACCTCCTTTTCAATATGACGGATCCCAGTTAGAATACCCAAAACTAGCGATTTGGAAAATTGGGTCACTCGGCCCCAAGACTGATGTTTCAGTGCTGCCTAAGACTAATCTAGTAACAATCTGCTCTTTCAAACCGAACGGAATTTCACAAGTGGTCCAATGCTGTCAGACTGCATCGCGCTCTGATCCTACAACAAAACAGCAACTGCTCGCCACCCAAGTACTAATATCCATGAAAATCCGTATCTCTCTCTATTTTTCAAACCACATTCACGAATATTCCTATTTTGCCGTTTCCATTTAAGCTTGACCTTATCATTGGTCTGAAAATTTGTTTTTCGGTACCTACTTGTGCCTATTATAACTCTGTTTTCTTGTGTAAATATTCCAGCTGTTACAGTGGACGAACACAAGGCTTAACAAGACAAAGGGTATCGACGTTTGCCTAAGGTACGTTAATATACAGTACGTGTATGCAACCCTTTGCTCCCCAATCTGGTTATTCAATATAACCACACGAATGTAGGGTAACGAAAAAAAGAGTGACAACTCAATCATGCAACATTGGGACTCATCTTTGCGATCAGTAATGTTTGGCAACTGTGTGTGCTTAACTAGCGAAAGATCTTACACAGAGAGTTAAATATAAGACAATTATGTTCTTGATTGCATAATTTATTTCATCAAGGCAATCTGAAAGGTAAAACTCAACACCCAGCTCTGACCGACGCCAGAGGCATACTAATGTTATTCCCTTGCGTTCCAAGCGGAACACAGGGCTTCAAAAACACGTCTCCACTTTGTCCTGTTTTCTGAGATACTCTTCAGCTGGGTTAACGATTGACCAAACTCCCTCAACTCTTTCTCACACGATCTCCCCCATGTCACCCTAGGATGAGTGTGATTGTGCTGTGGGTAGGCCTGTGGTGTGTTGGCTTTGCTGTTTATCTTACATTTCGTGCGTTTAGTGAGCATAAGCCAACTGTGTACGAGAGGGTAATTGTTAAATTTGAATTGTTTATTGGCTTGCGCGAATAAAGGCCTTTCAAGTTTCAAGTTACTATTTGAATGCTACTATCTGAACAGACCACGCGCGCTCCTTGAATACGGCGTGCTTTTTCCTCTCTAACCGAAAGATACCAATTTTGTGAATTATCTGCTTCGGAAACCTGATCTCCCTATGCGGTGAATTATATTCAACCATTACTTACATAATAAATCTCTGTGTGGTAAGCCAGCTGTCTCGAACTACTGCCAAAGCTTCAGGTGCTACTTCTGTAGCAGCATCTTCCTCACTCGTTCAGATAAACAAAACTTGTTGGTCTACCACGTAATTGCTGTGAAGCCGATTATCCAGAAAGTATTAGGTAAAGTCGAAAACCTTTTCTTTTCCTTGCCTTGTACTTTTTCAATCTTATTCTTGTTCTTTTGGATTGATACTGTTGTTTTTTTATTCGTTTTTAGCACAAGTCATACTGACTGTTAATATGATTGCCGAAAGTAGCCTTAGAAAAGCCACTAAAACACCATGCTTTGTAGTCACAATGGCTTCAGGCAAAGGAGGAAAAACCCAGGGACTTCAACCTTCTCCCGCATACCGATCCAAAAGACTCGTGTAGCTTTCGTCTGTCCTGATACTACGCCTGCACTGCCACAGTTTAGTACTGAAACGGCACAGGGAATACCAGGGTGACAGGATACTACACCTGCATCAACTGAAGGCCGGTGTTCGAAACACAGCAAATCTAAAAGGAAACGTTCAAGACGTCATAAGACCTAGGTGTCATCAAGGAAAGGAAATGAATGTCAGGCGTGTAGTATCATAGTTTCTAAAACTGACTCAGCGTTTGAATGCAACTTTTGCAAACGGTGGGTGCACTGCCGTTGTGAAAAAGAGGTACCTAAAGCATACTACGAGTTTATGAGAAATAATCCATGCCCATGGTTTTGGTACATTTGTCCAATTTGTCGCCCTGGCATAGTCCCACAAAGCGTGTCAGCGGATAGCAACAACAACACGCCGCTCTTGTGTCCCAACACAGTCTCATGCAGCTCCCCACCTGCTAACACCATACTGCCAAAACTTGGCAAAGACAGTAGGAAGGACAAACCAGTCCTACTGACTGCAAATGCCAATTTTCACAAGGTGGGGGTTCACAAGGTAGCACCCACATCAGGGGAAGACAGAATTACAATTTTTTTATGGTTACAGCTTGATTCCACACCGTATTTTTTGGTACAAGTGTGGAATTTTCAGCGTGGATATCGGTAGCCCAAAATTCGCAGGCCGACCATAGATATCAGGTGTGCGTCGGGGTGGGCTCGAACCCCGGACCATGTGCATGGTCGGCGAGAGTCCTAACCACTGTGCCACCGATGCACCACTTGCATCCACTAGCAAGCTTGGCAACAGAACAAAGGCTGGCCAGATCTTGATGAAACCTAAAGTTGCTGACACTGCAAAGGAATACAAGAAGCCAAAGGCCAAACCTAAGTCTGAGGTTAGTCGGTCTAACTCTCTTATCCTCTGTAACGTACCTGTGAGCAAGGATAGCTAGCTTGAACAACAGGCCCTGTTTAATCAGGAACAGTGGTCCAACCTGTGCAATAGATTAGGTCTGAACATTAGTTCAGCGAAATTGCGCAGGTTGTACAGGGGCGTCCACATGCCTCAGGGTAAGCCACTCCCATTAAGGGTAACACTGGACTCTGCCGAAGACGCCGAAAAAGTACTATTAATGGCTCAGGTACTGGCCATGGACAGAAGTTCGAACATAAGGGTGAGACAAGAGAAGCCATGAGCTATCAGACAAATGACGAGGGAGTCATCGGAACTTATGCCTTCTACCTCTATGGTGGTACACGATGTTTCGGAGCTGGAAACCGGCACTACTTGTGAAAAACACATGCACGACGTACAGCAGCGGAGATGGCTGTCACCTCAGATTGCCCTTGGCGCTTCTGGAGCCATCTCAATTTTCCAGCTACCTCATCCCACTCATCTCACACTGATTAGCTCTCCGAAGCCGCTAAGTGTCACATTCAACTACCCGCAGCAGTTGTTCATAGCACTTAAACGGTGGTATGAGACCAAGGGAAAGTGATAATAATAATAATAATAATAATAATTTTTATTTCTGTAACAGAAACCAGCCATTTTTACAGGCATGAACATATGTACATTTATGAAAACTTATAGAATATATAATATGATTTGTTAATTTAGAAATAAGTTGAATACTGGTAAATGTGAGAGAAACATTTAAAATGAAGTGTACAAATAAGGAAATAGATATAGCGTCAAATCTAAACTGTGATTGAAAAAAAAATACATGTCAATTTCACGCGGGAACCATAAATGGTTGCGTTAGTTGAGGAAGGTAAGTGGCATTTCTGTACAGGTGCTGACGTATTACATAAGAGATGCAGAATAAACAATAACTATCAGTAAATCATTCAGAAAGAGCTTTAAAGTCTATTAAACTTTAAATTTACCCGTAAGTACATCATATTTGTGACATTTCCAGTTGTTTATGAGACCCACTTTGAACTTGTCAGCAGATTTTATAATACCGATGATCCCGTTATTCACCAGATGAGCTAGCAATATCACGAATAAGTAGAGAAAGCAGTATGTTTGAAAAGAGAAGAAGACACAAGAAAACCAGCAGACAGGTGCAGATCTGCGCCTTCAGTATTTAAAAGGTGTTAATAATTCAAAATATATAACAGGCATGGGGTTTATCGTTTTTTATTGTTTTTTTCAGGAAATATTATTTTCCCGATATTTTACAGTCTCTTCTGCGAACAA